ATTGCAAACAGCTGATCTTGTGGAGGAAGACAATCGATAAGAACACAAACTATTCGAATAATTGATTTGCGGGTGACTGTATGCACATGTGTAGTTGATAAATATTTATAATTGAATGTAGGCATATATTGTACATACATGTATGTATGTAGAGATGTGTACTACCATTTCCGTCACGTCACACATTGAAGACGTGGAGTGAAATAAGAAATTGAAGCCACTTAAATGTAACAGAAGCGATAAATTTGCATTTCCTCTGCAATTCTACAAGGCGGCGCAGTACGAGAACAGAACGACACTTAATCTACATACATACATGCATAAAATATATACATATGTATGTAGGTAATTGAAGAGAGGATGATGACGATGAGGCGATAACAGGCGCAGAATAAACGTCGCACCATGCAAAAGTCAAACGGAGGCAGTCTTAAATTATACTGAAGAATAGCCGGGGTACATATTTGCAATTCAACCGACAAATACACCTCAGATGTTGTTGTTTGCATGCACCGGTGCAGTGAAAAGAATGGGTAGAGAACTATGAGTATACGGTACGTCGCATATTCGTATCGCCATACGCATTAATATATTCTTAGTGCGTCTTTTTGCGACGTCATCCGCTGTGTCGTCTGCCATTTGTTGTTCTCCTTATGCATACAAGCAACCAAGTAAATGCAATTAATCAAATGTCACAAGGTATAGGAAGTCGCCGAGAGGTAAAGTGGGGTAGCAACACATACAAACATACGTACATATATATACAAAGAACTTTTACGTTTTTAGTCGAAGGGAAAATAATAAATAACTTGGCAAACTGTCACATCAATTCTTAAAAATTTCTATTCAAAAACGATCGAAAGGTCGATAGGGCCTCATGTAAGTTATTACATAGATTAACTTTGTAAGATATTGGGGCGTGCTTCTGCTCCCGTTTTGATAGATCTAACAAGTTTTTGCTGACAAATTTTTTTTTATGTTTTTTACAACGCTTCTCGATTTTCTATAAACTTTTATTTCGTCTTAACCGATATTGGCACTCACGATTCAAAGAAATGTATGACTGCCGCACAGTATTTGTCTCTATTATATAGACCTTACTTGTTTTTTAGGAAGATAGCCCCTCAGCCGGGATCTCTTAATGACTTGTGGGTACTATATATGTAAGCTCTCTTCCAGATTCTTGAAAATGCTGTAAGCATAGAGTTTCACTGAGGACTTTAGTAGAAAGAGTTTATTTGTATTCGATATTATCGAACCATATACCTTACATACGACACATTGATCCATTATAAATATCGACCTTCGCCGGATCCTTTGTTTTTATACCCTGAACATGGTATATTAAGTTTACCACTAAGTTTGCAACAACTAGAAGAAAACGTCGGAGATTCTATAAAATATATAAATGATCAGTGAGACGAGCTGAGTCGATTTAGCTGTGGTCATCTATCTGTTCGTCTGTCTGTATATACATAAATACGTGACTTAGCACCCTCAGTTTTTGAGATATCGTTTTCAGTTTTTGCACACGTCCTTTTCTTACCAAGAAGTTGTTCATTTGTCGGAACCGCCAATAATGGACCACTATAGGATATAGCAGCCATACAAACTGAACGATTGAAATGAAGTTCTTGTATGGAAACCTTAATAATGTGACAAGATATGTATGTATCTTTACGAAATTTTGCATAGATTATTATCCAAGGCAACGCTATATTCTCCGATCAGACCACTATAACATATGGCAGCCATACAAACTGAACGAACTAAATCAATTATTCTTGTGTGGAAACCTTTTTGTTTGTGAAGAGTATTCTAGCTTCGGTGGAACAGACGTTTTTATTGTTTTCTAGTATAATTAGTATAGTTAGTAAATAACCTTAATAAGTATAAATAAATTGGAATAAACCTCTTTTTTTCTGTCACATACTTCAATTATTATGCATAAAACTTAAATCCGAATATTCTTCTCGATCATTGTAATTTATAATCGCCGTCATGATAATCATGCTCATCAGTAACCACAAAAACAATATCAGCCAACGACAAAACAGAAATAATGGATGATAATAAATGAAATAAGCAGCTCGATGTAACAAGACAGACGCCACTGAACTTGTGGCTCAAAAGGCGATGCGCCATCTCTGCATGCCACATACATACGAGTATGAACATACATGTAGAGACATCTGTGTATATGCAAGTGTATGCATGAGCTTTTGATGCCCGCCCGTTTAATGCGTATGTCAGTCGAAAAAGGCAAACCAGCCAGACACGCGCCCGCCCATGTGGCGGCTGCCTGATGCTGCCACCGCTGCTGCTATTGCTGCTATTGCTGCATTATGCATGAGAATCAAGAACAGAGCAAAGAAACGGTACATAATTCGCTCTGCAATGCACTTTCCTACCTAAAAACATATAACTGCATATGTACACAGCTACCATAAGTTTATATAAAGAAAATACATTAGCCACATATGTACCTGTGTATGTATGTAAGTACATAGATACTTATATCTGGGCTATGTACTAGCACGCAGTTTTCCACACCAATATTCTAAAATAAACAAAGAGCACAAAGAAAATTGCTAAACACTTTGCTGCAGTACCGTAAATTGAGACACATGCCGATATTGGGATATACTCATGCACGTGTGTGTGTGTGTACACATAGATATGTACATATGTACAAAAGTGGAATGAATTTCGAATATCGCCAGCAGACACGCAGTCATAGTGGAGCAACATGCCAAACGAAGAGGAGATAAAAACAAAGGGAAAAAAAACTTGTAAGGGGCGGAGGGGGTTAATGAAGGTAACCCGAGGCAGCATTTGTCTCCCCCCGCAAGGGAGGTACTTTTCATAGAGCTGAGGAGCATAAGTGAGAAGAATCAAATTCTACGTTTCTTGTTTGTTGTTGTGGAGAAAATAGTAGCAACAAAAAAAGATTGCTATGTGCCAGCAACAAAATCGTGCTGTGCAATAAATGCGTTCGACTCGTTCTTTGTTGGCGATAAGTACATAAGTACATGCATATGTACATAAGTACATGTATGGTTAGATTTCTTTGTGCAGATGTGCAATATTGCCAATATTTGTTTTTGTTTTTGTTCTTGTAAATTGACTTTTCTTGTTGGCTGGGTGGGTCACTGGCCTTCAAGAAAAGTCAACGAAATTTACTCCAATCCAGCAAAGCAAAAAAAAAAACCAAATTGCTTGTGGCGGAAAGTGAGAGCAATAGAAATTCAAACAAAAGCAACAATGACAACATAAGGCGACAATACAACAAGGAGATGAAAGCAAAAACGCATGCAAAACACAAAAGAGCGTATAGGTCATTACTTAAGGGTCAAAGGGACCAATTAAGGGACACGAACCAATAATGAATAAAATTGTATGTTAATAATTAGTTTTTGTTTTTGTTCAATTCATCTAAGAGAGAATTGCAATAAAGCTCCTTAACATAGGCAATAAATTTAATTGCTGATATGCGATTGTTGCCTACATGCAGGGTGTTTGTAAATAATAATGTAATCCAAGGCATTTTAAATGTCCGAAATTACAACAGATGCATTCTTAAACACATAGACATCAAAGTATAAAACTATTTCCAGATTCAATAATCTTTTGACGTTAGTTCCACGTAATACGTAATAGCTAAGCAGTAAATCTGAGCCCCTCTCTCTCTAATACGACCCAAGTTCAAGCAGGTTCTTTTGAATATGAGTTTTTCATAAATCGAAACCAGTGTAAATGCAGTTTTTGTTGTTTTAAATCATACTGTACTTTTAAAATAATGTATGGAAATGTTACTTCCGTTTACGTAAACCCGTTTAGCACCCAAGGACCGTTCCCACGTTGTTCGAATTCAGTATGAGGCGGTCGAATTAGTTGAACCACGATCACAACTTCACTTCTCTCTTTCAATTTCGAGCTTCAATATACTTATTTTATATTGTAAAAACCTGTCAAATGATTTTCCAATATTTGTAATAAATTGTAGTACTTACGAAACCTCTTTCATGCAGTACGTCTTGACCCTCAGATCACGATCACACGCTTCAATTTTGCAGCGCAAAAACAACACTTCTAAAATCTTTGTTTAATAATAAAGCTTAAAAATGATTTTATTCCATCCATAAAGATGTTAACCAACATAACATATTTGTTTTCCATACATATTTATAATAGTAAATATCAGATCAGATCAGATAATCGCTCACACAGTGATTTTAAAGAAATGACTTCGAACGCCAGTCCGAAAATTCAGAAGTTGTTGCTGTCTCATCATCACTTTCATTCTCGTCAGAGCTGTGAGTTTCGGATTTGTGGTCTTTATTTACGCTAAGCACACCCTTGCGCGCCTCCAAATTCATATATCTAGACCAATGCTTCATTTGATCATTGATCTCATCCAAGTCACGATCGAATGCTGATTCCATTTGCTCACCAGCAATAATTGCAACAGATACAGAGGATGCTTCACGAATTTCACGCTGAAAACGTTCCCACTCATCCGTTTGTGGGTCCTTATATTCTGCATTACGTATTTTCGCATCCTTTACGGGATCATCAAAGAACTTCTCGGGCAACAAAGTGTCTACATTATTGGCGGATGCAGATTTTTCCGTGAAGTTAGGCGCTGCTTTTGTTACAATTTGTTGTATGCTTTTCGAACTCTTTTGCACTGCAATCGCCCCTTTCGGCGTCTCCACTACTTTTGTGGATGATTTTGGTGTTTGTGGTGTCGGTGTGGACAACTTCGTAGTCGCTTCCGGTATAACACCTTTAAAAGTCGATTTTATTTGCTTTGCAATCGTTATGCGTTCCTTGTGCAGCTTGGAGTTCGCATGCACCTTCCATAATGTGGCCGATTTTACAGTGACTTTGCAAATAATGCACTCAATTTGTCCATTCGAATTTGTCTTCGCCAATTTTGAATCGACTTTATGCTCCGTTTCAGCTACTTTCGTTCTTGCCGACAATCTTAGGCGATTTTCCTGATGCCGTCCCATTTTCTGAAAATTTTTACGCACGCAGTTAGTATTTGGAGAGAGAGAGAGGGAGAATATTTTATTTTAACTAAATTTTAAAGCTTTCGAAAAACGATCAAAAAAGATGTACATAACTAGAAAATCCACATCGCTGCGTACACATTTAAGTGGCGCTTGCCATCACCAAACATTATTATTGCATGTGGGTATATTACTCGTTCCAATCGCGGTTTGCTCCCTGACAACTGCGACACAATACAGTATTTCAATGTCGCTTCAAATCCACAATAATTACTACGCAATCACAGTCGAACGGAAAAAAAAGAACAACGTAAAACGCACTACAAGTAGAATCAGCGAGCGCAACGTGGCGTGACGCAACAATAATTTTACTTCACCACTTCAAGTGTGAACGTAGAGTCGGAGGCGCGTAAGTGCGACCCGCAAACAATACAAATGAATTTATTTATCAAAACACGTACATATTTATTACGTATAAAGTCATATGTTCGCAGAAATAGAATAATAATAAAAGTATTTATAAACAAATACATTCATACATGTGTAGAAGTGTATGCACTATGTCATAACAACAGCGTTAACTTTTCTATTTTGAACAAATTTGTGCAATTCTCCAAAAATAACCAAACACTTAAAACACACAAAGCGCTCGTGTCCGCAAATGGCACCGTTCATCATATTTGCATCACAATATTTCGATACGTAAACTAGAAATAAGCAAGGTGACGCCAAATTAATGCGGAGCATATTTGTTGTACATATTTACATATGTATGTATGTATATTGTAAAATGTGTATTATATACACAATCAATATTATTTTGAATAGTTGCATACAGGTTGGTTGCACAAATGGTTGGTCTCACCAAGAAATAGCACTACTAGCTTTTTTTCTCAAGTTGGTACAGCTGTCGTGAGAACACATGCAAAGTTACAAGTCATTCTGTCAATTAATTATTAGTTTACAAGCCATTTGTAGTTGACGAGTCAAGAGAATTTTTTTAATATGGAAATAATTTAATATCGCGCAGTGATTAGATTCTTTGTTTTGAAAGATTTAAAAGCAAAGCAAATTTATGAACAATTGTTAGATGTGTATAAGGAGTCCTCGCCTTCAAAACGCACCGTTGAATTTTGGGCTGTTGAATTTAAACGTGATTGTAGTAGATTTAAATACGATACACGTGATGGACGACCAAAAAGCGCAACCACACTAGAAATGATTGAGCAAGTTCATAATATTGTTAGTGAAGTTTCAAGTTGGACTAAGCGTGAAATTGCTAATACCATAGGCATCTCAGGCGAACGAGTACTTCATATTTTACATGGAGAAGACATATGAAAAAGCTGTTTGGAAAGTTAGTGCCGCACACGTTAAAAATTCTACAAAAACTGGACCGCAAACAAATTTCTCAGCATAATTTGGAGCGTTTTGAGCAGAATAAAGCCCATTTCTTGCATCATTTTATAACTTTGAAAAATTGAAACAAGAACGTATACAGTGGACTGAAGCTGGTTGTTCAGCTCCAAAGCAGTTGAAGTCACAACGATCAGCAAAAAAGGTTATGGCAGCAGTTTTTTGGGATACAAAAAGGAATTTTGTTGATTGATTATCGGCAAAGAGGTAAAACAATCAACTCTGAATATTATTGCAGCCGTTTGGATCACTTGGATGAAAGAATTGGTGATAATAGACCTGGTTTGCAGACCAAAATGTGTTAACAATAGCAAAATTCAACGAATTGGTGGAACATTCACCGTATTCACCAGAATTGGCTCCCAGCGACTACTACATCTACAGAAAGCTGAAACAATTCCGTCGTGGAAAGCGTTTTTCGTCGAATGAAGAAGCTATTACAGCCGTAGGCGGGCACTTTGCAGAGCTTCCGGAAAGTGATTATAGGGATGGCATAAAAATGAATTGAAGGATCAATGGAATAAGTGTATTGAAGGTAAGGGAGATTATATTGAATAAAAAAAATTTCGTACCAAAACAGATTATTTCATTTTGAACACACAAACTTTTCAACCAACCTGTATATAATTTAATATGTAGTAAGTCTATAAAATTTATTCACGGAACCGTACCTCTATGGTTTTTTTTTTAAATAGTTCCTTTGAATATACAGCCGCAGTATGGAACTTTAGCGAATGTTTTTAACAAAAAGGAGATTGGAAGTCAGATCGAATGACCTTGAATAATCCTTTATATAATTATAATCTAAACACTTTAAGAATAAAATCCCACTTCTTGAGACCTTATGCAGACGAACCCTTATTTGCGAACACTCTCAAATCTCTGCTCCTTAGATTAACCTATTATAGATGACTTAGAGGATAACACTTCAACAACACGCAAACATAAATCTGAATTCGCTGCCTGCTTATTATTCTGTAAACCGCATTTCGAGAAAATGTGTTTAAATTTTTAGGTGCCAATAACGTAAAGTTAAAGTTTATTTTAAATACGTTTAGATCTCCTGAAATCGTTGGTATATGCCGGATTTCGAATTTCCAAATAAGCATTAGATTTTTTGAAATTCACAAGTGGATATAATTCCTTAAACGGAGATTATTACATTTTCAAAATTTCAGTAGAGCTTTCGCCATATGCGAATTTTAAAAATAATATTTTGAGAAATTTAACACATCAACGTAGCTTAACTTTTAATATTTACCATTAAAAACTTGCAGATGTATTTATACTTATATAGTTTTCAAGAAAACTTTAAGGAATCACCTTCCTCCTTAAATCGATTTCAATTATTTACTTTTTCTTAGAAATATCTAACTAATAAATTCAAGTTGTTCGGTCAATAGTTCACAGATATTTCAAAAAATATTAAGAACGATGAAGACCGCCACTTAACGTGACTTTATCGGATATAGTAACTATAAAAAATTGATGAAAACTTAACTAAAAAACTTAAACTATTACATTCTATGCAAGATGCAAAACGTTGTGAGCACATAAGCAAAATTAAAACAAAACTTTAGTTAAACGAGTCTTGTGTAATAATTTAAATAAACGGCAATATGGAAATTTTCATGCCGACTCCTGCTAACCTGGAATGTGGCGATTGGAATTGCAACCAGCACAATCCAACAGCTGTTGCAGCAATTCAACAGCTGTATTGCCAAGCACTTAACAACGTCCACCCCACACCCGCCGAACTAGGGGAGAGTGAATTGCAATTCGCTTTCACATGTAAACTGCTATTGCCAAGGGCAAAGCTAAGCTTCTACAAGTATGTGCGTGCCAAATGTAATTAACGTAAATTCACATGACATCACACACAAACAGCTGTGCGAACTTTAAACAAAACAACAGCAACAAGAAATAATGCCAACACGTTTGACAAAAACCGAGTTAAGGTCAGAGGCGGTCAATTAATTAATATACCAATATATGGAGAGATACTGATAAGATTAATACGTTAATATCCGCTGCCATTGATAATACATATTTATATAGATAATAATGCTTCATTTCAATTATTTTTGAAGCTTTTTTCAACCAATTATGTAATTTTAAGGTAAAATTCGATTGCTTTAGATAAGTTAATTTAATTTCGCCAACTGAGAAAGCTCAGGATCGAACAATTTGTGATTAAATTACAGAAATGTATCACATAGTCAGAACAGCTTAAACTATTTTTTTTTTTGCAATTATTTTTAAGATTATTTGTCATACATAAAAGTATAGACTCTTTCAATTTTAATACCCTGAGCAGGGTTTATTAGGTTTGCCATTGTAACACCCAGCGGGAAACGTATGGGACCCTATAAAATATATATGTACATAATATTTTTATATATATGATCAGCGTGACGAGCTAAGTTAATTTAGCCATGTCCGTCTGTCTGTACATACGCGAACTAAACGAATATATGTCACTTCTACAAGAAACTGCTCATTTGTCGGAACCGTCGATATCAGACCACTATATAGATCAAGGTAGATAACTTTTAAACGCAAACAAAAAAAATCTTAGTAGGATGAAACCTATGGGAAAGATAAAAATAACAAAAATTATTCGAGGTCGGGAAGGGGAAGGGTTTATCTCCATTTCCGGCAAAACTACTGGCCGCCCAAAAAACAGTTATACAAGTATAGCAAAGTAGTAGGTAATAATAAGGTATACTCTACTCACATAACCGCAAAATGTATGAGAAAAAAATCTCTAAGTTTTTTGAAATTTTTATTTTTATATTGTACAAAAAAAATTTCTTTTGCGAAATTTGGTGTAAACTTAAAATCGTATGTCTTAAATACACTATAAATTTTTTATTTAAAATATTAGGGAGGAAACTTTGTTTTAAATCAAAAAAACATCCTAATTTCCAAGCACGTCAAAAATTATTTTTTTTTTAAGTCAGTAGGTTTTAAATTTGCTAAAATCTCTACTTTCTAATGGTATAAAAAATATATATATTGTCTCAGAAAATGCAAAAATTTCATCTACCTATTATTTCGCAGTAGATGTAAAAAAAATCAGGATTGAATCGTTTAGTGGCGTCTTGTTTGCATTATCTTAGAGATATTTTATAGCATATGAAAGTAGATATAAAGCCTACTAAGTTAAGAAAAATCTAATATTTTAACGTAACAATTTTTTATTGAAAATTAAGTTTTTTTTTTCAAAATTAAGTCAAAATAAGAGCAAAAATAAATATTTTATATAAAAAAAAAAATGTATTTGGGACAAGAACAGAAGGTAAGTTTACACAAAATTTCCTAAATGAAAATATTTTTTGTAAAAGATACAAATCGCAATAATTTTGTTTTTTTAATCAATGCATTACATTTATTTTTTTTATTGTATAGCAAATTTTATTTTATTTCATATAGTTAATTAATTTTAAAAATTATGCACCGTAAATGACCTCCATGCTCTGCCACGCATATGCGACACCTAATTAGAAAATGTTTCATTGCGGCCTGAAGGGTTGAAGTCGGGATTCCAGGCGAATAGGCAAATCAAGAGTGTTTAACCGGCTTGTTATTTGAACTTTGTACGGAAACTGGTTTAAGTTGTCATGAATTAACCGTTGTAATGACCGTTTGCGAACTCCAAGCTGCGCTGATAAGTTGCGAGCCGAAACTCTTGGATTTTCCTGAATTGACGATGTGGCTGTTGATTGTTTCTTGAACACGGATCTCGATGGTACGGTCTTCTTGCGATACTCCCAGATTCGGCCAACATAGTTACTAACCTCATAATGATAGATCTACTTGGGGGAGTGTCTTTAAAATTCCGTCTGAATTCCCTTTGGGCGGAAATGACGGACTGCAAAGCATGGTACCGTTGCACTATCCAAACCCTCCCTTAGGTATCCCAAGCATTCATTTTTAAAAAAATTAAATAAATACCTGCCAAAAAAAATTAGTCGATTACTCATACAGAAAAAAAGTTATTACGGTTTGTTTATGTAGCACGATTCGTGCGCCACCCCGTAGAAATAAAAAACCCAAAAACTGGGTTATTTGAATTTTTCACATAATTTTTGAGGTTACCCTTAGATCAACCTTGAGTTTTTCCTTTAATGTTTGTAATTTTATCTTTCGTTTCGAATGGTTTTCAAACTACTATGAATTTTTTACACTTTTCACCATTTTCAAAGGTGGTCTAAAAGCATCTACATACATAGCTGACATACAAACTAAACGATCGAAATCAAGTTCTTGTATGAAAAATTATTTATTTGGGCTAAACTTGATGATTCTACAAGTATAAGAAATAACCTAACAATAATAAATTTTTTTATCGATTTTGTTATTGCAGAAAAAAGTTCGACGCGAAAGAGCCATGAACACACCGATGTTGGGGCGACCAGAGTTATTTTTTTCAAACGCGACCGAAGACCAGCCACAATTCTGGAATTTATCACCCAAACGGGGACTAGGTAACCGTTACAACAACAACAACAACAACCAGCCAGCGCAGAAAGGAATTCGACGCAAGAGAGTTATGGAGACCCCAGTGTTAAAAATGTTTTTCTAAACTTGACAATGAAAAATCTATGGAGAAAAAGTGTCATCAATTTTGTTGAAATATTGGCACTAAAAAATGTTTTATTTTTATGTTTTTACATTGGGTTTTTTTTCGCCCGAAAAGAATCTTTGGACATTGCTTAGGAACTTCTAGGGAAGGTTTTCTGAGAAAATTAAGCAAAACGGAAGTGTAGCGTATTCGGAAGAATCGCCTCTATTTGTGAAAGGTATTCTAGCTTCGGTGCAACTGAAGTAAAGTTTTAATAATTTTGTGTACATGTATAAATTGCGGTCCCATGCTCCTCATTAGCAAAGAAGAAAAAGATATGTGCAAATTTCACATACATTTGAACAGTTAAATATAATAGTTTGCTGCATCTAAATAGCCGTGGGTGCCAGTTTTATGAAATGTAATCCTTCCATTGTGTACAGTTTAACAAGCAAAAGGTCAGAGTTCACATAATGCATCTGATTATATTACTCATATATTAAATATTACAAAACGACAAAAAAAAATGTAAATTCACCCATCGCAAATATAGGTACACTCGCATATTCACTTCTAGTCTATACATGTATATGTACATTTCGCACAATACAAAGAAATACTCTTAAAAGCTTTCGGCTATATACACACCTAAATATGTATTTGCACAGATCTACTTATGAGTATTTGTATAATTCATAAAACGGCATACGACGACGCAGGTAAATGACCCATCAACTGAATAATACTACACTTGTTTTGGCCCAAATTGACACGAGAGGCGTAAACCAAGCAAAGCCGATGAACTGACAACCGCAAACGGAGGGGCAGCCACTTGTGCTGCCAACGGCAGACATATGAACAAATAATACTTATATTATATGTGTGAAAATGCACAAAATGTAGTCACAAAGTTAATGAAATTTCAGCATTTACTCGTCATCAAAGGTTTGCTTCAAAACAAATGGCCATAGCTAGTGGTATTCGCAGCCTCAATCAAGGGTTGTGAACAATGGCGTCAACCGGGTCTACGTATTATATTCGCCCAACAACGGTCAACTTGGCAACATTCCTAAAGATTATTTGGAAACCGTTTTCTGGTGTTAAAACAACAACCTGTTGCGTCATCGACGAAGAAATAAAAATAAATTTATTTTTAAAGAAATTTGAGACCAATAATCTAAGTTGTTTAAGCTTTCTATTAATAATATAAATATGAGCTACCCTTCAGATTTGAAACCATTTTATTTTGGCCTTAGCAAGTGCATTAATTTATGTGTAAATGGTGAGTTGCATATTTTCCGTGTTAATTAGCATAACAAACGTAAGATTACGGTTAAGGTTTAAAATACTGGTATTGATCCCGATATCGTCTACATATACATATGTACAAATATTCTTATTGACTACAGCGACGTTGCATTTTTAATTTCAATAGCTTCAACGGTGTCATTGGCACTTCCGAATTAACACTCACCACCGTTAATAAAATAGTATTTGATATATTATACCCTTAATGATATAAATCGAATATAACTAAAATTAGAAACATCTCTGATTCTTAAGGCAATATTTGCTATCCACTGTATTTTAGTTCGACACTGAGTTAATCCTTGCTTTTGGTCATATATGTTTTTGTTTGTGGTTTCTTTTGAATACACAGCAGAACCATCTCCACATTTAGTGTAATTTAAAATATCTTTTTTGTAAATGATGTTAGAATGAAGCAAACATTATTTTAACCTCACAATTATTTTTTTATGAGCATTAGTTAAAAATATTACTTTTTTAATATAACAGCAAAGAAATTATTGCAATATATATTTTTGTATACACCTAATTCCGTTTTTACACGGTGATTGGTTCCGGAAAAAAAACGTGTAAAAAAGACGTTGATCGTATGCAAAAATCCTTATCTTTAAAACCTATTAAAATGAGTGATAAATAAGAATTATGTTAAACAGCTGTTATTCATTTTTTAAGTTAAGAAAATTAAAAAAAAAGCTATACCCTTCAGAAATTCAAAAGGTTCCTTAGAAGAACTTGAATCGGATCGTTCAGTTTGAACGGCAGCTATGTATATGCTATAGTGACCCGATCCGAACAATTTCTTCGGAGATTGCATTATTGTTCAAGATAATGATTCAAGACAAATTTCGTGACGATAACTAATCAAATGCAAAAGTTTTTCATACAAGCACTTGATTCCGATTGTTTAGTTAGTATGGCAGGTATATGCTATGGTAGTCCGATATCAGCTGTTCCAAAAAATCAGGAGCTTCTTTGTGAGAAAACGATGGGTGTAACGTTTCAGATCGCTATCTCCAAAACTAAGGGACCAAATCGTATATATGGTATACAGACAGGACAAACAGATATGGTCAAATCGACTCAGCTCATCGTTTTATAGGGTCTCCGACGTTTTCTTTTGGGTGTTACAAACTTCGTGGCAATCTTAATATACCCTGTTCAGATATAAAAATTAAAATGATAATCCTTAATACAGGAACATAAATTTAATTGCTGTCATCATCTGTTACTTGCATCGCGATGAAACAAAAATATAATTCCCCTAAATGTGTGCTATTTAAACTTGTTTGTATCAACAAAAAATTCTGATAAGAACATATTTCGCAAAAATTAATCTGACAATTAAAATTTAAGACCAAAAAATTTTCAATCGTGCTAAATAGAATAAAATCGTGTAAAAAATGTAAAAATAAACAAAATTATATTTTAAGCCGTTTAAAAAAGAATTTGGTGTATTACTCTTCATTCAAAGAACCTGGGGAAAAAACGGCGTTCTTATTAACTGTAGAAGTGATGGATACTATAATAAACAAAAGCAATATTAGGTATGTCACACCATGGTACAAAATTTACAATTGATATTTAGTAAAATGTAACGAGGTCAAATGTGAAAAAAACTAAATTGATATATTTAGAATTCTTCAATTTTTTCCGGTCAACATCACAAATTAATAATATTTAAAACAAGCCATGGTGGTAACGCACATACGTGGACATGTCTGATGCCGTTTGGGTACTTACCTAGATTTTGAAAATTTCTTGTTTATAAATTTAGGCGATGTAAACCTAGAAATTTATAAAATTAATTATTTAAATTATTCCACTCAGAAATATATAGTGTCTTACCTTCAAAATTGTATATTAATATAGCACAATTTGGTAATTCCACAATATAACTGTAACCCTGAAATAAAGTAAATATACTGCAATGAGTTATTAATATGTAATATAAAGCTAAGAATCTACTAAAAAAAAATACCATGTGACTGCAATTATACTTAAATCCCGTTCTATTTCGGCACCCCGATACTAATACTCATGAAGCATATGGAATTGCAAACTTGATTCTATGCATATTTCTTTAATTTAAATAAATCAATACAAATAGTATCAAATGACACCAAAATTATTATATGCACATATTTAATAATATACAATTCGGGCCTTTACCCCTTTAATATGTACGGCTTTGAAATAATAAAATTACATTTAAGAATCCCAGTTACAGAGCACCAAGCAACGCCAAACACAAATATTCGATTTTGCAATTAGCAACAACAAATCCAATCTTATCAAGATATCATTAAAACCACTTACACTGTTTCCCGATATTTAAAAGCCACCTAATATTTCTGACTTTTTCGGGTAATATGTTGATTTGATAGGTTTTAAATGTTTTTTATAAAGATTTTATTTAATTATTTCTGGCACAGCAAACAGCAGCAGCTAAATAAATTCACCACTCACAAAATGATAGGGTTGCTTCAATTTCCCCAGTGTGAAATGTCGATTAATCGCTGCAATCGATAACAAATAAGGAAGGAAATTGAAACCAAATTACTCAATAAGAATTTAAAAATTATATATAAAATTTTTTGTAATAATTACACTAGTTTTCAATCAATGTGTGCGACTGTGATGTTAGGGGCTGATTCTTGCTAATTTTGTGTTGCTAATTTGGGTTGCTTAAACCGAAAATAATAATAAGCAAGAACGTAGGATTTTTTGTGTTGTTTTCAAGGGGTATATAATATAAGTTATAAAATATAAATTTTATTAACTTTATTATATTTATTTCGCTGGAAATAATGGTGTAGATGTAATTGATACAAGTTTGTACAGAACTTTCATATTTAATATAAAATTTCAAAGAGAACTTCTATAAATATTTGCAGAAATAAAAGTTGAAGTGATATACCATTTTTATCTGTCAATTTTGATGTATAAAATATTATTATTATTCACAACAACGCTTTTCACAATACATGGTCTCGTTAAAAAAGTTCAGGAACTGAAGACTGAGGCAGATATATCTCTTTACTTTTTTTAATCCTTGGGACCTCCTCTTTCCGTCGGAGCCATCAAATCGCGGCGCCAAAAGAATCGTACTTTTTCCTTTTTGTATATTGTTAAAGAACGCAAAACACGGGATACCGATTTAAGATAGTTACTGGTTACTAATGACATTGAATAAAAAAAACTAACTGAATACCATATATAATAAAAACTATACATCAAGCTTATTAATTTGATTAACGAGTTATACGTCAAAATTTTTTTTAGTGTTATTTGATAAAATATTTTAAATTTTAAATTAAAAACATAAAAAAATTCCTAATGCGAATGGTTCATATAACCTTATTAATTTTTGAGCTACAACTATCGATATTTTCCATTGTGAATCTATTACAAAATTTATCTGTGATTGTCAAAAAATATTGTCGTTTGGAAAATTTGTAATTGCAAAATTTCTGTTCGGTTGTTCCTCGGTTTGGAATATACATATGTCTATTATAAATACGAGTTTTTCTAAAGAAAGTCGGAAATTTTAAAGAAAGTGTAATAATCCATCGTCAGCTAATAAAAAATGTCAAATCTAGGCAAAAGATTGGAAACCTTGCCAGATGTAAGTACAGCTTCCATTCTAAAAGCGCCATCTCTTCCATTAATTAATAGTAACGGTTGTATTTTTCCTTTATCCATTTTAGAGTGGCGACCTGGATGAGTTAATCGAAGACACGAGTTTATTAATAGCATCTGTATACAATATGTTGGATCAGACTCAATGCACACCACAACGGACGGCACCATCACTAGGGCGTAGGTCTCATAACAATAGCAGTAGCAGTGGACAGCATGATGGGACAAGTTCTAATTCTAGCTCCCCGAAATCGCCTAAAACACCGCGTTTAAATTTATCCGGTAGACCAATATTGTCCACACCATCAAGTAGAGAAATCGACCGGGAAGTCAATCGAAGTAAATAAAGACTAACTGACAGATCCTTTTGTGAATTTGTTCAAGCTATTTTTCACATATTTAGTAGATCGATTTTGTGAGATGTTGGAGCACAATTTACGCACTGTGGCTTCGGAGCAAGAACAACACGTTAGTAGACGTTTGGAATTAATGTCATCAACTACTCCACGCAATGGTAGAACTAACAAACAACTTAAAACAAATTAACAGTTTATTGTTTTACAGTAATTGAGAGACCTCAACCGGTACGAAGAAATCGAATACGCGCCTCAACACCTGAGGAAGTAATCGATTTAAGTGATTCAATGAATATGCCACAACCAACCAGACTTATATATCCATTAGATGTAAACGACGATGTTATAATAGTGACACCAAGTGTTGAAGAAGTAGTTGATCTTTGCACTCCAAATTTCCGTCGAAATAATGAACGCTCAAGAAACAGTAATTCATACAGAAGAACCATCAATAACATTGAAAATAATTCCAGAAACGGTAATGCAACACGACAACGTTTGACCGCATCACGCCGCCTGGGTTCTGCAAGCGGTCATAGAGTCTCATCACGTCGTTCACTTTCTTCAACATCTTCAGCAGCACGTATACAAAACGAAGGCAGTTCCACTGGTAGTTCGTCTGGTAGTTCCATTTCAACAACAACATCAACAACAAACATAGAAATGTCAAACAAAGACAAAATTAATGCCTGGTCGCCTGGTGCGCAAGCGGAAAATTCCGAGACTGGTGTGGGAAGCGAAAATGGGCGTGTGCCTTTTATGTGTGCTGTATGCATGGACAGTTGTGTCAATAATCAACCCACATCAACTAAGTGTGGTCATGTTTTCTGTGCCAAATGCATACGTGAAGCTTTACGTTTGACACGCAAGTGTCCCATGTGTAACACCAAGATCACTCCAAGCATGCTATTCCGTATATATATTTAAATCATAATCAAAGCCAGTTGCTTCGGCACTTTAACCAGCTATAATGGGCTTAAACTCCTCACAAATTATTATTAAATTATTAAAACAAAAAACATTATATCATAATCATTCAAATAATAATTTTTTTTTTTATCATTTATTTGCTCAGAATTTAAGTTTGTTATGTGTCATGCAACGATAATAGTAAAATTTAAGTTAGGACATATGTTATTATTTCAAAACTTTTATATATTTTATTCAAACTTACGTACAAACATATTTATAGATTTTAAAAAAATTCTGTGTTTTATCTAAAAAAGTAAGATGCGATTTTTTGTTTGCTATTTTCATATCGAAAAAAATTACATCAATGCCATGATTAGCCATGACGTAGTGGAAAACTTATTTGCAGCTACTTTTTTGTACTTATCAGAGGTGTTGTTTTGAGCACTTTTTTGCTTTGAAACAACTTATTGAATAAATTGCACATATCTGTAGGGAACTCATAAATCTTTTACGGTGTATTAATTGCTAAAACTATCTAAAATTTAGTTTGCGCCAAATCATTTTGCATATAAGGAATATATACGCAAGAGGCGCCAAAATATTTGTTTGAAAATATTAATTCAAAAAGTATTGCGTCCGTTATTAGAATAGCAGTTGAGTCACTTCCTACCAATGCAACATTTATTTGTTTGCATATGCCAATTACCTATTATTCGTCTGATTGAGCTAATTCATTGCTTGATTCATTTTTGAAGTTAACCGAAAGATAGAAACGTTTTCCATACAAGAACTTAGTTGTGATTGTACAGTTTGTATGTCAGCTATATGCTATAGTGGTCCGATATCTGCGGTTCCGACAAATAAGCAACTTGTTGGGGAATCATGGACGTATGCAAATCGTATCTTTCGCATATATGCAGGCAGACGGACTTGGCTAAATCGGCTTAGTTCGTCTTGATCATTTACATATATACATGTTTTACAGGATCTTCGAGATTCCTTCTGGGTGTAAGAAAGTGGCATACTTAATAAACCCCTTTGAGTTTATAATACGGGTTTCATAGCGAATTCGGTTAATAAAATAATTATATTTGTTAAAAAAATATTTTTTTTCTGAAAACCAAATACAAAAGTAAAAAAAAATTAAATTTCTTGAAAAGCCTATGCGATCCATATTTAATACCAGCTATTCCAATAATAGTCGAGTTTACGCAACTGTAACGGATTGAGATTTATATTAGCAACGGATTCCATGCTCCCTCGTTGTTGTCTTCAAAATTATTTGCAGAATATTTTTTTTGTACATACAACAGCAACAACAAAAATATTTAGGTTGTTTTTGAGTTATCCTACTTATTATTAGAGATATCCAGGACGAACGGGCGGACAGAGACATCGTGAAATTTTTAATATTTTTGAACATTGTTACGTGCAACATTTAGGAGTTGTATTATATTTAGTTAAGTAAATTAAGTTTAATTACTTTATATAATTTAAATAAATTTACGCAAAAACAAAATTAGGCAAACAAAAATTAATAAAATAAAAACAATAAAATGTGATAAATAGCATAAAAAATTAATAAATATTAAAGGCTGATTTTTGTATTCTCTTGTCGTGTTTCATTTCGGGTGATCAATTGTAAACTGTAATGCTTCGACAAGTTTACAACATGTAAACGCACACTTCTATATATAAGTTTGATTAACAACATTTTTATACTTTTTGTAAAATCAGTTTTTTATATACTTTTTGTAAAACGAGCTTTTTATATATTTTTTTTTTAATAAAAAATAGTTTATTTTTCTTAAATACCCTCAATAACTTATGTTACTGAGTATGTAAGGTCTACAAAATTAGCTAAGTACTAAGCGAAATTAAAAATATAAATATTGTAAATACTAAAAAAGCGAAAAAGTGCACGCGCTAATGCCATGAAGCTTTCGTCCCAAATTCGTACCAATGTAAAACCTTTAGTTGCGCGCCGATCCGCTTCGATCTTTGATGCGCTTAATCCCAGTTTGACTAATCTGGAATTGTTGGCACTGCAGAAAGCGTGGAGAATTCTAGAACCAAAATTGCGAACACTCTCCACCGATATACTTATGGAGTAAGTGACGTCAGTATTTCTACTAAATATTTATTGGCATTATTCACTGCTTTAACAGCCTCTACTCGGAGCATTATGAGATTATGGAAAAGTTTCGCGATGAAAGGGGCAAATTATGTAATTATGAATTGATAAATCACTCAATTTGGTTGCTACGACTTTACGGCTCGATTATAAATAATAAAGTAGATCAATTTAAAACGAAAAAAATACTGGAACCCTTGATAGAGAAGCTGAAGAAGTATTCCATGAATGTCGATTCCGTAAATGTGTGTGCCATTTTTTATTTAAATTATAATTTAATTATTCATTAATGTATGTGTGTTGGTTTACTCTTTGCAGCTTCAGTTGGACTGTACAACAAAATTTATATTCGCTGAACTAAGGAATGCCTTATCGCCCACGACGATGGAGGCCTTCAATAAGCTCAACAAAACTATAATCAAATATGTTCATATAAAACTTAGCTAACATATTATATATATATATATATATATATATATTTTATATAAATTTGTAAAAAAAGTTGGGAATGACGTGCTTAAACCGGCTTTAATGGACGAATAAATGCAGAGGCTAAGTTGTTGCAAACGAAACTCAACGATTGGCTAAAACACCGAGAGTGGTGAATCGAACACCCCATTTATGCCAGTTGCCATATATCACATCGATGAGATATCCATATATTGCCTTGTTTTGAAAGAAACTGCCTCAAACAAAAGAAGAGAGGCGAGTAAAAACGAATAGCGCCAGAAAAAGATTGATATCGTGAATTCTATACATTTTAAGCTATATAGGATATACATACATACATACAATGTGTAAATTAAAAAAAACTAACAAAATTTAGAAAATAAATTCAACAGTAATAACATAAATTAATTGCTACAGTTTTTTAAGTATCGATTTTCTTATGTTCGAATAATTAAAAGTCGAATATTGTAGATCTATAATGGCAAAGTACAGCATAGGATTAAGATACGAACTGTCAAACTTGCTCTTAATTCATCCGTGACGTCACGAACTAAAAAAACAAAAATAGTAACAGGGTGATATCAGATTATATATTATTTATATTTATATTATTTATATTTTAATTAAATTGAAAAATATTAAAAAATTATTATATGGAAAACTTTTTCGTTTAACAAGATATCTTCACGAAATTCGGTCTGGGTTATTGTGCAAGGCAGTGCTAAAATATTGTTCAGATCGGACCATTACAGCAAGTAGTTGCCATACTGACCGATCGGAATCAGTATAGTGCGAAACACATGTGAAGGGCATTACACATAGTTTCGTTGCAACTATTTTTCTCGCTTGCAGATATATACTTTCACCACACTGTATTCTAATAATAGACAACTTTCTTTTGATTTCTGTTAAATAAGTTGTCATAATAAATCAAAAATTACAAAAATATATATTTTTCACGTCTGTATGCTGGCACAACAATAACATCTTTAAAATATACATTTATATGAATAAATACTAAAATATGGGTAAATTTAAGAGAAATTAGCTTCAGCGCAAGTCTAAGCCACATATGTACTTCTAGGTTCCTATATTGAAACAACTGAGAATAAAACACCGCCGGTGTTTCCAAGAGCCTTGGAACCCTACGAAATCAGACCCGTGGCAGATGAGTTGGGGCTGACAAGTACAGAGAGAAAATCACTACAAAATGGTTGGACTATAATTAAACAAAAGCAACGCCGAGCAGCGCTCAATATCTATGTAAAGTATGTACATATATATGCATTAGAGCCCTAGGCTAGAAGCATAAAATCAATGACTAATCATGGAGGTGAGCGGCTTTTCTGGTTTTTTTTTTTGGTTTTTCAGTTTCTTCACCGAACATGAAGATCTTTATGAAATATTTCGCTTTAACGATGTATTGGACATTGAGTTCGCCAGTCAACATCAAAAGGATGTTCTCGCCGTTTTCCAAATGATCATCGAACAGTTGGATAATTCACGCTTCGTCAAGACTATGATGAAAGAGCTAGCTCTTAGACATAGAGCTGCCTCTGTCAGCGGTACAATGTGGCAGGTAAGTGCGGGTGATGTTAAGTTAGTTTTGTGTGATGCGTCGGTTGGCGTTTAAAATTCACTGAAAAGGTAAAAAAATTGAGTTTTCGTACTGAATAATAGCTGCAGACAGATAGCTCACTTTTTTAGCGGATGGAAAGAGAGCTGAAAGCTATGTAAGCATCCTTAATTTACAGCGATTGAAACATTCGATGCTCATGGATAGAGAGGCCAGTTTAGGATGAGTTCAAAATTATTCTATGATAACTGGTAACACATCTTTATACCCGGAACAGGATATATTAAGTTGTTCGCCATGTTCGTCGGTTTGTCCATCTATATATTCAAATATCTTAGCTTTTGAGATATCGTTCTAAAATTTTGTATATGTCCTTTTCTCCCTAAGAAGCTGCTCATTTATCGGAACCGCCATATCACATTATCATAGTATATCGGACATACAAACTGCACGCTCCAAATCCACATAAAGATATTTTTATACCCTTCTATGCATTTTAGAGTTTGAAACAGCCTTAAAGCAGGCCTTTGTATTTTTTTTCCAGCTGTATACAAATGAAGTAAAACTTTACTTTTTGAAGACCCTGAATGATGCCCTTTCACCAACATTTGTTCACGCCTTAGATACATTAATTAATTATATCTGCGATTTTAATGAATTCAATGAGTCCAAGGATGACCAGAGCCAACAACAAGATCTGGACAAAGAATGATTGATAAATTTAAATTTGAGATGTAAATTCATGCATATTTGTATGTGTGTAAATATATTTTTAAGACTTTTTTAAGAAAATATATATCTTTTAAGTGATGCATACTATAATTCTCTACTCTATTATAACTTCAAATTTGGCAACACTTCTTTGCATTTAAACTCGATTTATTTTAATATTTGCAACTCAGAAAAAATCATCTAAGAGCTAAATAAATATATTTAAAAAACAAATAAACATTATTATATTTGAAATGCTTAAAAACCATTGAAGTAACTACTCGAAAGCATAAAAGGTGTGGTAGCGACTTATTGTGGTTGCTGCAAAACGAATCACCAGTGAAGATTCTAATGTTACGTATACGCCCCGGTAGCCGCAAATTGAGTGTAAAATATAATATAAATATAAAAGCCGCAACTGATGAGCTACAAAGTCGGCATTTTACTAATTTGTTAAACAGTTATGAGTTAATGTGTGCGTAAATAGGCATAGCATTTCTATTAATTTGTTGTAGCAATAATACACCCACCTCTAGCAACAATAAATCGCTGGATTCCAAATTTTGAATACCGCAATATCTACTAAATACGAGCGGCGATCGGTCAATCAGCCGAACACAGCTAACCTTTATCTTTATTCCAGTGCTACTGTCACACACACACATATATGTAATTACACACGTATCTAGACACACTCAATCACACGCACACCTTTAGTCGCTTCAATTTGCGGCCACCTCGCGACTTTTTTAGTCGTTAGCTATGGACGGGGTTTAGGATGCGGTTAGCATCAATTATTTTATGTGCCTTATTTAGTTATGCTTTTACCTCAAGAACTTTAGTTTCTCATTGACTTTTGTGCTGCACGCAACAAATTGTTGGGCATAATTGCGCTCGGTTAAGGGTGAAATGAAATTCGGTTCGCTTATATATATTTCATAGAAGTTTATACATGTTTTACTCTTAACACAACGAATTAGTGTTGGAAATATTTTTCGCAATATTGTCAAATAAATTTCGTGGGTAAAACAATTTCAAGCCAACAAGATGCAAGAGAAAGTTGTGACAATAAATCAAATGTCGGCAGATACGTTTAAAGGCAGCGGCAAAATTAAGGTGCGTCTTTTATTTTTAAAAAATTTGTTTTGATAGAAATGTTTTTTCAATGATTTTTATTAATTTTACTTTTCCTTTTAACTTTTTAACTTAATATTATTTATTACATTCTTGTGTCTGCTGTGAAAAATAAATTTGGCTGAATGAGACCTTTCAGCAACATTTTTAGACAAATATTTGAAAAACCGTTTTATGAAATATTTTACATTTATTTTTTTTTATATGATTTACAAATTTTTAATGCACTTTAGTCAGGGTAGCAGAAAAAATGGTGAAACGACTAAATTAATATATAAATGAAATATTTTTTTATTTTGTGGCACAGAAGTTTTAATTAAAAATTATTTTAAAATTTTAATAAAAAATTATTTTCAAATTTCTAATCCCAAATACCTGATTTAAAAATTAAAAAAAAGATTTTAGTCCCAATAATAAGATTTAAGAATAAAAATGAAAAGTTAATCCTAATTATAGGATTGAGAAAAAAAAGAAATGGTAGTTCCAATAATCATATTAAATTATAACTAAAAACAAAAAAATTTGTTTTTGAATTTTAAAATTTTCCTCGCTTACGTTTCATGTTCTATCATTTTGCTTATTTTTTTGGAAGGAAACTTTTAATAAAATTTTAACACAATTTAACATATTGCTTAAGTTAGAAATATGTAAAGTTTCCGTTTTATATCATTTCTTTCCATTTTCTCTTTTGAAAATTACCTTTTTTAATTCTCACACCAATTTTAAATTTTAAATAAAATAATAATTTAAAGATTGCTAAATTTGGGATTCAAAATTATATATAAAATTTTTCATTCCAAAACTTTTTATTTAGAAAAATAGCAACCCTGAATTTAGTAAACAATTTTAACTTTAGCTAAGCTTTAAACCCTTATAATTGTTGTTTCTATTGACTATCTACTGGTAAGCGGCTGGTGAGGATATTTATAAATTGCCTCAGCTCCAAGGAAACAGTTGTGTGATTTTTGAAAAATTTTCATCAAATATTTTGTATATTTAATAAAACTATTGTATGTATTATGCTGTTGCATGCTCTTGTGATATACCATTTTTGTATATATGTATTTATAATGCCGAATCTATCTGAGCACAGAATAATTTTCTCTCCTCTTAATTTAGAGAAAAATGTAACGTTCTGGTTCAATTTTGAAACATTGCTTAAGATAAAACAATTAAAAAGTGTGTCGAAAGAGAAGCTTCTTTCTTTCTCACTTTTTCATTAACGCCTGTGCCTATCCGATATGAAGAATTTGTAAACCTCCAGAAAGTGATCAGAGCAAACTCCGCAGCGGAATGGGTTATTTTTACTTCAAGAAATGTTTTCATTTATCACTAACCACAAGGTTTAAAACGTTCTTTTTGGTCTGGATGACTTCCCTCGTTGTTTTTCATCAATCTCAAAAAGTAGATTGGCATATACCATAACTGTACTGTTTCAAAACGTGTTTTTTAATACAGTAACACCCTGACAAATATTGAAGAGTTTAAGCAGTGTATTATAGCAAATACCTTAAGTGGCATATTTTGTTATTACTTGTTCGGCAAGTGGCACCTCTCGTTCGTAAAGAAAGTGCTTGTGATATCACTAAAGCTACGACTCAGAATTGGCACTTTTGACAGTGAAATTTTCCATTAGTTTTCAAGCACTGTGTTTCTATCTGGTATCATATGAGAAAAAAATTGTATCGTTAAATTATATATGTTATTGTTATATGAATATCTTGAATCGACATAATAGAGACAGATAATTTTTTGTGGAGTGGTGTGTAAAATCTACCTCACTACAACTATTTTAGCATACCAAGGTCTTAAAATATGTTAACTTATCTTCTCTTTCAAATATGTATTTCAAGAAGATATTGTAGAAATATATTTAATAACTCATATTTACATATCTTATATATTGGTAAATTTAAATATATATACATTTAATCTCTTGCCATCGTACTACTTCAAGTAGACTGCAAAAGGAATACGAAATGCTTCATGTGTCTTATGAGTGACTCCACAGTAATTTTTTTTTTTACATTTCAGAAAGCTAACTGAGTAGGCAGTCAGATAATCAATCATATCGAGGTACTTGTAAACGTATTTTTATAACTTTTTTCTAGTTCTGACAATAATTAAAAGTAGTAGCAACTACTAATTCTAATACTTATTATCACAAACACTCAATTCTTCTAAATATTTAACAAAAGTGATAACAGCACAACGATACTGATTTATATACAAGTATAATTGCCGCATCTTCACTTTTATTTAACTAAAAAATTCTTGTCAATAATATTTGTGACGATTTAGTTTTTCGATAGCAAATTCGTCAATAGAAATAATAAGAGATAAGCGTAATAAATCCACAATAATAATGACGATGATAAAAAATGATTTAATAGAACTACTTAAGTAAATATGCGTATAGTTATTCAGATTCATATAAAAAATATATATTTATTTATAAGAAAAAGAATATCTCAAATATTGAGGGACTATTTAGCGCATATACAAACGGACATGGCTAAATCTACTCAGCTAGTCATGTTGATCATTTATATATACACAAATATATAATATATCCCTTCCGCTTTTGTGCTCTTCATTCAATGCTTTATAAAAAGTGTTACAGTGATCGGATTTAGTTAAAATATGCGCCGTTTTGTTCGATGATCTGTTTCCATCTAGACGGCAACTTCATAATACCTTCCTCGTAGAAGTCCCCTCCTTATTTGCGAAGAATTCGGACAGCCACTTTTCACAAGCCTCTTTTGAGTTCAACTTCACACCACCAAGGGCATTCGCCATGGACAGGAACAGGTGGTAATCACTTGGCGCTACGTCCAAGCTATATGGTGGATGCGATAAAACCTCCCATCCGAGCTCCCGTAGCTTCTGACGAGTCATCAACGAAGTGTGTGGTCTGGCGTTGTCCTGGTGGAACACTACACCCTTCCTGTTGGCCAATTCTGGACGCTTCTGGTCGATCGCTTGCTTCAAGCGGTCCAGTTGTTCGCAGTAGATGGTAGAATCAAGCATCTGGCCATATGGGAGCAGCTCATAGTGGATGATTCCCTTCCAATCCCACCAAACACACAGCAAAACCTTCCTGGCCTCAATCCCGGCTTGGCCACTGTTTGGGACGATTCACCGGCCTTCGACCACGACCGTTTTCGCTTGATATTGTCGTATGTGACCCATTTTTCGTCGCCAGTCACCATCCGCTTCAAGAATGGGACGAGTTCGTTTCGTTTCAGCAGCATATCGCAGGCGTTGATTCGGTCCAGAAGGTTTTTTTTGCGTCAAATTATGCGGCACCCAAACATCAAACTTTTTTTTGTATCCAACCTTCTGCAGATGGTTCAAAATGGTTTGGTGACTAACTCCCATCTCCTGGGCGATGTCACGAGATGCCATATGCCGGTCTAACTCGATGTATTCCATGATTTGATCGGTATTTGTCGTCACAGGTCTTCCGCCGGCTGGCTTATCCATGGTGTCGTTTTCACCGGCTCTGAATCGTCGAAACCATTCCTCCGCGGTTCGAAGTGATAGAGTACCATCCCCCAAAACACCATTAATCTCACGGAACGTTTCTCTAGCGGATTTGCCTTTAACGAAGGAAAACTTTAAAATAGCGCGAATTTCGGCGTTGGTGAACTCCATGTTTACACGTCTATAACTGTTGAACGCAATATCCAAACTAATCATGCATAGCGTTGTTTTGTAGGTTATGTCAAGACATTGAAATAACCTTATATTATATATACCATATACAATAGATATACACTGTTTCAGGTAAGGCTGGGAACACAAGAACAATAATAATCGAAATTAAATATTTCAAATCTAATCAATAAATTTATTTAATTCTCAAAAGTCTAATTATCACTTAATAATAATTCTGTGTTAAAAAAAATCATCTAAACACAATGGCATCTCTGTAAGGCAATGGGCTAAAGCCTGAACCGTGGCGCAGTTCTAATCAATCAGCTTTGCACTGATTGCCAAACCACATATGCCTATATATTACGCATATCTCGCATATACCGGGCCGCAGTAAAAAAAACAGGGTGCGTGGAGTCCCTCAGCGTGGAAGAAGTGAAACTTCATGATAGCAAATTGGAAACATGAAAGAA